TTCAACCGGCCTTCCCGAACGTGGTGCATCTTCGACATCAAAATTGCCGGATCGAAATTTAGCGAACCAGTTCTGGCACTGGCATACTGTCAACACACCTTCTCCATACACATCAGTCAATTTCTTTCTGGCTTGAACAGCATTTTTACCCTTTCTGTAGTAAAACAGTAAGATATGTCGAATATGCTGCTTATCGCTCTCCATATTTAAAAGGGCACCAACCAAAAACTACTGCGTAGAATTAATTGGAATTTTTCACACACAAGCCTTGCTATATGAGCTCTCAAAGCATATAAAAATTATACGGGTTAAATGTGAAGTTGGGTCCAAAAGAATACAATTAAATACCCCTGTCGGGAAAAAACGAAATGACTTTCCGAACAACCCGATATATTGCATTTATTGTATTTGGTTCAATGATGAACTTAGATTGAATTTGAAAATAGAAACGGTTGAGATTTGGATAAATATTTAATAAAGTAAAAGTAGTTCATGATGAAACCAACAATTACGTACATATTATGATTTTCTGGTCTGGTATTTTAAAACTAAAATATTTCTGCATATTTTGTACAATTTTTAAGATTCCTTTGGAAATATTATTAGAAAACCATTTGAACCATACGTACTTTAATTTGAGTAAGAGTTATTAAATACTCTTTAATTAACCGATGTTGTCCTGATTCGAGTCTAAATGCCGTCGTCGGTTGGAGTTGGAGTTCTCCAGGAGTCCTTCCATCTCCGATGTGCACAATCTTCGAACCCGAATCAGGACAGTATCAGTTCACTTACTGGCCACGAAAGCCTTTACAAATTTGTCAGACCTTTTATTAATTTACAATGGTTTAATTTAAGGGAGTGATGAAAATAATGGGGCTTCCTGAATGGATGTACTGGCTCTCATGGTTTATAAACATATTAATATTCTACGTGATCTCGATAGTTTTTATAATATTGCTTTTAAAAATCCAGTGGTTCTCCAATAGGAGAAAAGTATTTGCTAGAGCAAATCCAATTATATTATTTATTTTTTTATTTCTTTTTGCATGTGCCACTTCAGTATTCGCGTTTATGATTAGCATATTTTTTAAAAAAGGTAAATTGATTTTTTATTTATGTGTTTTATGATACGAAGTACTGTTGTTTTTGTATAATAGCCAGCAACGCTTCTGCTGCGGCAGGATTAATATGGGTATTTTCTTATGTACCTTTTTTGTCCATAAAAACTAATTACGAAGGTGTTCATTTGGGACTTAAGATATTTAGTTGCATTTCTTCAAATACCGCTCTGGGATTTGGAATGAAACAGTTAGTAGCTTTCGAAGCACATGAAAATGGTGAGTTGGAAATCTTTCGTTTTTTCGAGGTTGAAAGAAACTTCAAATTTGAAAATTCAACATCTATTAAATCCATAAAACTCACTAGTTTCTCAAAAGAGTAGTTAAACGAATTAGCCAGTTTCAGTTAATAGTATCATATACGTTATTATAAAAATCAATGACGAGTTAAGCATAAAAAAGTATTATAGCAAACAAAAACTCATGTTTCGCCTTTTGGTTCAAAGCTTCTTTAGGGGTATAAAAAAATGAGCAAAATATAGAATTAAGTGTAATTATTATTGCTTTCCACGTTTCTTAGTTTTCACTGGCCAACATCTAGTAAATGAAGACGAGATGATGCCAAAGAATTTCACGAAATTCGGCTGAATGCGTTGTTCATTAAAATACTCTACAATTGTTTTAGCCCTTAAGGTTTGACCAAATAGTGATTGATTGTAAGTAAGTTAGTTCTGGTTTAACATAGGTTGCTTTAACTCTATCTCTAGCTGATAAATCTATTCATCATCATCATAAGGTCGTCAGTCCTAAGACTGGTTGCACACGCACCTTCACTTCTTCCTATCCTGAGTTAATCTTCGCATTTTCCTAAAACTAGATCATCCCACATCCTTCAGTATTGGCCAACAGTAATCTATCTATCTTTACCTCTACTGTTCTTAACTCCTGTTTCTACCACTAATATGTCTCTGACTAGACCTTCATGCTTGAGAAGGTGCCCTACTACTCTATCTCGCCTATTTCTTATTGACTTCCATAGAGTCCTCTGTTCTCATACTCTTTCCAATACCTCTTCATTTCTAACCTTCTCTATCCACGGTATCCTTATCATCCGCCTATAACACCACATTTCGAACGCTTCTAACCTTTTCCTTTCGGCCGCTCCCACTGTCCATGTTTCGCACCCATACAGCGCCGTGCTCCAAACATACACCTTTAACAACCTTTTTCAAATTTCTAAATTAACCGTTCGCGAGCATAGAAGTAACTTCTTTTTATTGAAGACGACTCTACCCTGAGCTATCCTTTGCTTTATATCTCACTACTCCTTCCGTCCTCACTTATCTGACTTCCTAGATACCTAAAGTCAGCCACTTCTTCTAATTTTTCGTCTCCTATCTTTACATTCGCTCTTTCCCTACTTTTCCTTCCCTTGCATACCGGTATTTTTGTTTTACTTTTATTTATTTTTATACAATACTATTTTGTCAATACCGCTTTCATTTTATTCAAAGCTATCTCTAATTCCTCCGCGCTAGATGCTATTTCTGCTACATCATCTGCATATAGCTATTACAGAATATTTAATTTCAGCGTACTCTACATATAAATTTAGCCTCGCTTATCTTTTACGTCCTATAATAAATTTATGTCCAGATGTCATTGCCCTTAACTTGGCTTTGATATTTATAATAATGTCTCGAGAAGGATTAAAAATGGAAAATAAATGTTTCATGCAATGTGAACTTAATTAAATTATTTTTTAGGTTTACAGTGGGACAATATATGGGGCAGATCATCACCCGATGATAGTTTTGTTTTTGGTTACGTTCTCGTAATGTTGCTAGTTGATTGTGTAATATACATAGTCTTAGCGATATGCCTTGAAAATTTTTTTGTAGGGAATCGCGTGAAGGAACATGTGTTACATATTTTATATAAGATACGTAAAAAGATCAAGGCACCTTGGAAAAAAGAAACAACCACTACATCTACTGTACAAAACAAAGACTCAAATGGTACGAAGTTGATGTTTGATTTTGTATTTAATAATACTGTACGCGTACGAAAAGAAAACAAAAGAAATTCATATTATTATCAAATATTTTATTTATTAAAAACTGTTCTCCAGATATTAAAAGCTTTTAATATTCATACGACTAGAAAATTAATAAAAATTTGACTATATTTATATTTAAGTTAAATATTATAAAGGAACTTTAAATTTAATTCTCGAAAAATTTCAAAAACCGGTCTCAGGTTTATAACATTCCCGGTCTTTGACATTTCTGTAATGGCATTACTGAAAAAGGTTAACCCTTAATTAAGAAAAAAATTCATAATACAGTGTAAACTCTTTATAACGTCACTCGATTTAACGACAAACTCCTTAAAACGTCGAAATTGCTTGACTTTGGTTGGTTTACATTGTTTTCTATACAATATTACACTCTATATAGCGTCACGCTCACTCTATTTAACGACAACAATGCGGCATTATAAATCATTGAGCAAGTTGCCGAAATAGATAAGAATTGCAGCTGTGTACGTTGTTGAAGAAGACGATCCTGTCCCTCCACCAAGCATCAAACAAGCACTTGATGCAGCAAAACTATTAAAAAAATACTTTTTATATAATCAAATTGATCCAGCAGTATCTCAAGATATGAGTAAGATACGTAACAAAATACAATTAAAATATTGGAGAAGCGAAAAACATCAGACGAAGATAACAGGCTATACGCATTGTATGAATAATAATGTTCAGTGCAAAATGTGTACTATATTGGTAAATGCATATAATTATAGAATAGTAAAATAATATCTTTTATTTCTCTCCATTTAACGACCACTCTTTATAACGCCGAAAAATGTTCAGTCCCTTAAGTGTCGTTATATAGAGTTTACACTGTGATTGTTGATTTGAATTAAGCCTAAATACTTTTAGATGATAATACCCTAGAACCATTTCCTCAAAGTGGGATAGTCGTTAAAAAACTTACAAAAGTGTTTGCTGGAAAAGAAGTTGTAAAAAACGTTTCTATGACAGTTTACCAAGACCAAATAACAGTTCTTTTGGGTCATAATGGTGCCGGGAAAACGACTCTGTTATCAATGCTTACTGGGTCACTGTCACCCACTGATGGAACAGCAACAATTGGTAGTCGCGATATTTTAAAAGAAAAACATCGACAAAATTTGGGGTTTTGTCCTCAATTTGACATTCTGTTAGACGAATTGACTGTATCTGAACATTTGTACTTATTTTGCAAAATAAAGGGAATGGTTGATGCTAAACTTATTACAGAAGAAATTGATAAGTACGTTGATATGTTGAGCCTTCAACCAAAAGTAAGTTCTTTCAGTTGAACTTATCAATTTGTGTTTGAAATAAGACTAAATATTTTTAGAAAAATGCTAGGGCATTGACGTTATCAGGTGGTATGAAAAGGAAATTGTGTGTTGGAATCGCACTGTGTGCTAATTCAAAGTTTGTAATATTTGATGAACCATCAGCAGGAATGGATCCCAAAGCAAAGAGAGGATTGTGGGATGTGCTACAATCTCAGAAAGATGGTAAATTTTTCAAATTTAATTTTTGAGAATTGAAAATGACACCGTTTTAAAAGATGCATTTTATTGTTCAATTAAGAGGAAAATGGCTTACATTTTCACATAGAATTTATTATCTTGGATCTTTCTGTCATAAACATATTCAGTTTGATTTTAAATTCAGTAAGTTTCAAGTGTAGTATAATTCGAATTTCAAATCAAATAATATGCGTTATTTGACATTTATACTAATTAATTAACTGCAGCTTTTAACAATTAAAAACAATCACAAACATAAAATTGTTATCATCATACCAATTCGTACGTATTCGCCGGTATTTGGATTTGTTTAGGAAGCTGTCTGGGTTTGAAGGTCGATGTATTATCACATTTTGAATGATATAATTTTGATTTCCATCCTTAATTAATTAGAGCTTTTACTCACTCCTTCGCTCGCGTTGATATCCTAAAAACGTGTCAAAGATCATCGACGATCACATATTTTTTCTATCCCTCGGGAACAGTAATATATTGTAAACATTTTCTGGATAAAATGTACCCTATGACCTTTTCTGTATCCTTGTCAATGTGTATTCAAAATTTCATGATGATCGGTTGAGTAATTAAGGCGTGAAATCGTAATAAACAAACAATCAAAATCACATATTGGTTCCCTGAAGCATATGTTGGACCGAAGCTTTTTTAATCATGACCTGTGCATAACTTACGTTTTTCATTTAAAGATTTCGCTTTAACATTACCTTTTCTATATAAGATGAACATTTTTATAATATTCAGTTAAAAATGTTATATTGTTTTAAATTACAAAATACAATTGTAAAATATCAATTCAATTAGACATAATTAATTGAAACAGAATATTCAGTAACGAGCGCTTTTTGTATAACATGGAATTTCCCATAGGCAAACTTTAATCACTAACAACTTTTTTATTTCGTCAAAAATCTGAATTCCGGCTTCGTCACAACTTTCTTTTTATTGCGTCGATACTTTTACAAAAAAGAAATTCAGAAATTGGTTAAGAAGTTCATGCGTCACGAATATTTCTCCATATGGAGTCATGTTATGTGAAGTTCGCTACAATAATATTAGGATAACTATTAAAAAAATATTCCAAAATATCTACGTTTTCGTGTTAATTACAACGTTATAATTGACAGGTAGAACGTTGATATTAACTACACATTCAATGGATGAGGCGGATATTGTTGGTGATAGAATTGGTATTATGTTAGATGGTAAATTAGAGTGTATAGATACCAGCTTCGCTTTGAAAAAGAAATATGGGCTGGGATATTTTTTAATCGTTGAAATTGTACCGTATGCAAATGTTACAAAGACAACTGCAGTCCTAAAAACCGTCATACCAGATATACAGGTATATTAAATTATATAATTGTACAGCTAGACCTAGACTTTGGTCTGTCATTCATTTGATGAAAAGGCCGGCGTTTTCAGAATAGTGCTCCATGTTCGAGCTTGATAGTTGAAGCCTTTCGTTGAGGTTGTACGCGGGGGCGTTTTTAAGTTCGAATTTATTTTTCTTTTTCAATACATTCACCTGCTACCCTTATACATTTTCCCGTTTTTCTTTCAATTAACTTACGTATACTTACTCGTGAAGAATTTTAAAAATGGTTGTATCTAATACTCCTACCATTTCTGTGAGCTGTTTCTTTTTAAGTCGGATCTTCTAGTATTAATTTTTCGGCTTTTTGAATAATTTCCGGAGTGGTCACCTCAATCGGCAGACCTGGCCGTGGGTCGTCTTCAAATGAGCCCCTGCCTTGCTTAAAGAGGCTATGCCATAATTTTACATGGGAAAGGGCCCCCGTAAACGGATGACATCTCTTCCAGTATGGTTTGAACTGATTTTCCTTTCTTGGTAAGGAACTTTATAACAGCGCGGTATTCGATTTTCTCCATATTTCACAATTTGTTCCCGATTGATTTGTTTCGTCGACGATAGTTCAGACTGCTGACCTAATTACGTTAAAACTTGGTATTTATACTAATAATGAGTTGCTTAATTCGTAATGACTCGAGTAAGTACCTTCACTAATGATCTACCTACCGAATCTGCGAACTTAAAAACGCTTCCTCGTAAGTATTCTTGAAGGAGAAGTAATAATCCTGGACCGCGGCTATCAAGCCCGAACATCAATCACTATTCAGTGAGAAGTTTGCTTTTTTAATACTAATTGCTTTACTAGATAGAAACCGCCACTAGTTTTGAAATAAAATATCGAATACAAGAGAGTTATTCTAAACAACTGCCTCAATTGTTAAAAATGCTGGAGGAAAATGGTAAAACATTAGAAATAATACGTTTTGGAGTGTCCTTCACTACATTAGGAGACGTCTTTTCACAGTAAGACTTTTGTTGTTAATATAATTTATTAAAAAAAGTGCTCTTTACTATCACAAACATTGAAATAAGTTAGTAGCTAAAATTGTTTAACATTTTCTATTATTTTGATTATCATTCTAATTAGAACATCAGGAAATTAAATTCAAATTTCTTGAACTCCTTAAGCTATAACAGTATGTGCATTACATTATTGTTATGCTATTTCACCAAACTGTTAAGTACATTTTAGAGTTTTGGTTTCACCATCTGATCAAGAAGATAATAAATTACAGGAAACAGGCAATTTAAATATGAGTATTGACGGAAGTGAGCAATTATCTGAAATTTGTAAGTAAAAATAAAGTTCGTAGTTATTTTCATAAATATTTCATGTTAAATTGGACTAATGAGACTCGAAAATTAAAAGTTTAATAGGAACTTTTCATGATTTAATGAAGTTCAGTCATTAATAAAGCGATATGAATAGAAAAAGTTTTCCATATAGCTATTGCTGATTAATTTTACTTACTGCTTATTCCAATATGTATTTTAAAATGGTAGGTAAAAATTAGGTAAATTAAGAAAACGTTTTAAGAATTATATCCTTAGCAAGGACAGTTCTTGATATACCTTTTTTGTTTCTTAATAAATTGGCATATTATCATCACCGCTACCAATTTTTCCAAATTTTTTTTAATTTTTTTGTTTATCTCCTTTCATCAAAAATATCGATTGAATTCGAAGATTATGTACGTATTATGACATTACAACTTTTGGTTTTCCTTAATTGAAAATGTATCAGCTACCTCAGTCTTCAATTAATTATCAGCCTACTATATTAATTTATCATTTATTTTTAATGGGTTTTCTGCTGTGAATTTTTAAAAAGTCATTAGCTGGTTATAAAAATTGAAGTAACAAATAAAACCATTTTTATTAGGTATTTTACTAACAATACGTATACGTATATAATTTGCACAGTGTATTAGTCCATTTCTCTTACAGTTATTAATTTATTTATTTCTATAATATGGATTTGGAGGTCCACCAGGTAGTAAAATCATCGTTTGTTATTTAAATAAAATATTCGATTTAAAACCTTGTACGGTGTACCACGCACAATATTCATTGGTATAATTAGTATACAGAAGTAAAGATATGTTGCTTCCAAAAATTGATGCAATTCCTTCAAGGTATATGCATAAGAAAAGCGAAGGAAAAGGTTTTGATTCGAAGGTTTGCTTTAAGGTAAAAGGTTTTACATAATTTGTATTTATAAGAAGAACCATCTGCTCAAAAACTAAAGGATTTGCTTCTAAAAAGAGGAATCTAGGTTCACAACAACTTTTCTCGCTCTTTTCAACTTTTCAGTAGCTGCTCAGGCATCACACAGCTTGAAACGTAAACATTTATGTATTTGTAGGACTGTTTTGTGTTAAAATCTATCTAGAAGGACTTTAATCCGAAGCATTTCTTTGCAAGGAAAACGTATAGATTATGGATACGAATTGTAGCAAAAGCTTTTACTTTTACCTTTTGCTTCTACCTTTTACTTGAAAGTAAATTATTATTCTTAACTAATAATAATGGGTGGATTTTTAAAGCAAAGTAAAAATAATCATGCCGTAACTTGAAAACAAAAATTAATAAATTAGTATTCTTTATTTAAATGGTTCTAAANTCTATAATATAATAATAATAATTCTTGCAAGATAATTTTTATTTGAGTTTTATAGACGATGTACAATTTTTAGTTACCGAGGGAAGTAAAAAGAATTCTAGAGGATATTCATTGTATCTATATCAATTTCTAGCAATGCTTATGAAGAGAGCATTTTTATTTCGCCGATCACTATTTCTATTTGTTTTACAAATAACAGTGATTATTACTCTTACTGCGATCGCCATAAGTATTGGCCGAGAAGCCAGTAACATACGGCAACCTGCCTTGTCTATAAATTTAAAAGCATATAAAAACGCTACTACAGCAGTTACCGGACAAACTAATAATATTTATTACAAAAGTTACAGAAGAGCTGCTTTAAAAGATAGCTCACATTTGAAGGACTGGAAGGATGGCGACTTTTCGGACAATATGCTACATGAGGTACATAATACTGTTAATAATACTACAATTGACTGCAAATTTCAGTAGATGGCGACATGCTGTCAATAGTTTGATATTCTTTGGGAGTTGTTCATATTTTAATCACTTCTTGACCCCCTTTTTCCACCACATAATCAACTATAATTCCATCCCTTATCCTAGAATAAGATGGTCTTCTTAAATTTTTTGAAATGAAAGTTTTATCATCGTCATAAGATGGTTGGACTCGCACCTCCACTTCTTCCTGTTTTGAGCCAATCTTCAGATTTCTCAAAAATTCTTCGTCTAGTTTTTCGTCTCCTTTTTTACATTTCTCATATTCTGCAACTACCTGTAGTATTTTATATAAACTATCCATCATTATTCTTTTCCTATATGTCATCTCTCCACTTTTGAATACTGTTACATATCACTTTTCTCATGTAACATTGTCAAACGCTTTACCTAGATATATAAACCTTATACATATGTATATACGCTCTTTCGTTTTGTACCTTTTTCTTATCTATTATCCATTAAGCTAAAATGGATGGCTTAGATATCAACCCCTGTGCATACAGTTCAGAATACCCAATTGCCAACCCCAACCCTCTTACAAAGTCATAAGGTTTAGCCATAGCTCTTTAATGTTTTTTTTAAAGATATTTGCAAAGGTAAAAGTACGGAATAATGATCAAATTGTTTTACAAATAGTAAAATAAAAACTTGTGTTGCCTTGTCGATAAAGGACATCATAATAACCAAAGTACAGCACACAAATTTGATTCTACTACTTTCAGACAGTAAAAAACATGGATCTTGTAAGAACTAATTACATAGTTGGTGCATCTTTCCATAGCAACAATGTAACTGCATGGTTTAATAACATTCCATTACATAGTGCCCCTTTGTCACTTTCCATGATAATTAATGCTATTCTTGAAGAAGAAGTTGATGCTCAGCATCACATTTCTTTTGTACAGCATCCTGTAGACTTCGGCTCGAGATCAAAGGTAAGATCGAGTTATAAAAGATCTCAATAAAGTACACACCAGCAGTGTATTGCCACCTATAATTCAAAAACTATGAATTTCGTTGCTCTTCAAATAACTTTAATTGGAACTTTTAAATTTTTGTTTTCTTTTTTCAATCATTTAGAATGCCATTTAGATGTACGAGGGTGGATTGATAAGTTTCCGGCCTGACCAAGAAAAACAAGGTTTTTAAAAATTTTTTTTTTTTATTTCTCAACATAATCTCCTCCAAGGCTGATACATTTCTCATAGCGGTGTTCCAGTCTATTAATGCCATCTCTATAGACTGATTCGTCAAGCTCCTCAAAATAACCATTTACAGCTTCGATTACTTCTTCATTGTCCGCAAATCTCTTACCGCCAAGCCATTTTTTGAGATTAGGGAACAGAAAATAGTCACTCGGGGCTAGGTCTGGAGAGTAAGGAGGGTGCGGCATCAATTCAAACTTTAGATCGTTGATTTTAGCCGTCGCAACGATTGACGTGTGCGCTGGTGCGTTATCGTGATGAAACAAGATTTTTTTCTTCGCCAGATGAGGTCGTTTAATTTTCACCTCGTGGCTCAAACGTTGCAATAAGTCTGCGTAGTATTGACCAGTGATAGTATTACCCTTTGCAAGGTAATCAATGTATATAATACCTCTTGCATCCCAAAAAACAGTAGCCATAACCTTGTTCGCCGAAAAAATTGTTTTTGCCTTCTTTGGAGTTGGTTCCCCTGGTCCAATCCACTGTTTAGACTGTTCTTTGGTTTCAGGAGTGTAGTGGTGGACCCACGTTTCGTCAACGGTTACGAATCGACGCAAAAATTCGCTTGGATTACGCTTATACAATGACAAATTTGCGGTAGAAATGTTTTTTCGAATCAATTTTTGGTCGACTGTTAGCAAACGCGGCACCCATCTTGCACAGAGCTTTTCCATATGCAAATGTTGGTGCAAAATATGTTGCACACGTTCATATGACATCTTACAGGTCTCAGCTATCTCACGCACTTTCAATCTGCGGTCTCCCAGCACTATTTGATGAATTTTTTCGATCATATCTGGAGTTGTGACCTCAACCCTTTTTAAACTCGGAAACCCACTGCTTAACGGTTGAATATGACGGGGAGGATGTCCCCAGTGTTGAGTCCATCTCTTTTTTAATTTCCTTCGGCGTTAACCCCTTCAAATAAAAGTATTTGATGACAGCACGATTTTCCTGCTTTTCCATTTTTACGAAAACCACAGAGGCGTCTTGTTCAGCGTGCTGTCAAACCTACACTAGCAAGGAGATCGGGCTGAAACTATAGCTACAAGCTATCCAAGGATGGTACTATAGAATGTCACCTCAAGGTAGGCCTAGTGGCGTCATCTCTTGGTTAGGCCGGAAACTTATCAATCCACCCTCGTATATGAAATAATACCAAAATGCGGTGAATTCTTGTTCTAAAAATTGCTTTATTACGTATTTTGAAAAGTACCAGTTAAAAAAAATAGTTTCGATAATAATTACTTATATAATACTTAGATTAAAGTAATGTTTAATTTGATTACCTATAAGTTTTGTTAAAGAGAAACTTTATTAATCATATAATGCCAAAATCAAAGCCAGGATGTTTTATAACTAATAAAAACTGATACAATCCTGCATTGGTCCTTATTTCTTAATAAGGGAAGATAAGAAAACGCTATATAATAAATATTTTATATCTAATTTTTTATAGCTCGACCGAATATTTCACTCCAAATCTGTAGGATATCAATTAGCCTTTTATTATGGATTTGCAATGGCGTTCATTTCGTCCTTTTTTCTAATTGTTTATATTTACGAACGACAGAATAAATTTAAACATCTGCAATTCATATCGGGGGTCAAACTGTCAGTGTATTGGCTGACTTCAATTTTGTGGGATGCCATAATTTTTGCTGTTATGATTGTGATTACTATAATCACACTGGTGTGTTTTCAAGAGGACGGCTACAGTACTTCGGATGATTTCTGTACGTAAAACTGAGAATAACAAGATTTATAAACTAAATGTGAATGCTTTTAGGGAGACTAAGCATACTTTTAGGGTGTTTTGCTTTCTCTTCGTTATCAACAACTTATGTGTTATCGTTTGCCTTCAACTCATCGGCAAGTGGATTTGTCTGGATGTCAGTTTTAAATTTATTTACAGGTACAAACAATCATAAAATTTCTATTTGCTTAATACAAAGGGTGAGAAAATAAGAAAAAAATAACTGTCCTAGTATTTCTTTAGAATCAAAGATAATTGAACTATTATTTCATGTTACATGTTTAGTTTTTCAGTAGAAACTGTTTTGAATAATATAATTTTCTGATAGGTATATTTGATGTACAAGTTTTTAGCCTAAGGCAGACGGACCCGGAATCGAACCGGCGTCCTCCCGAATGCTAAGCAATGGTCTAAACCTCTAGGCCATACCGCTCGGTGTATCCTCCTACTCTTTCTAATACTTCCCCATTTGTTACCTTCTCTATATCCTCATCATTTGCCTGTAACTTTTTCTGCAGAGCCGTGCTCCAGTCCCTCCGTTGTCCTTTGTTTAATATCTCTGCTGCTTCTTCCATCCTGAATATTAATACTTATCTAAACCAACATAAAAAAAAATTTTGGACTGATCTTTGTTTAGAACACTAATTCTGCAGCTTGTTTATATTTGATTTCTAGAATTAGTCGAGAAATTTGCCCAATTACTCTTTTCGAACCAACAGATATATACGAATAGTAATAATTTTTAGGAGTTACATCGTTTATGGTTGTGGGGATTCTAAGGGATGAAATAATCAATTTATCAGACACTGCCGATAGTTTACATAAAATATTCATTATATTCCCTCATTACGCGTTGCCCGTTGCGATGGCAGATATGCATCGTATTTTCTCGTTGCGTAAAGTGTGCTATGAAATGATTATGGATTGCGCCGATCGTTTATCAATCGATTCATCACTGTCCTGTTCTGATCTTATTTGCAACCGTGCTTCTGCATGCTGTAGTGAGTATTAATATACAATATAACCTCGATAATTCAAACTAATTATTGCAAAGGTTTGTTCGGATTGTCAAAGAGCAGTCGCCTGTTATGTTAGACATATGTATTTATATATAAAGTTTTATTTGAATTTAAAAATGTTTCAAAAAAAAGATAAGATTATTATTGATACAATCGAATTAAATAGGGTATCAACTGTACCGCCGTGTCTTCAAAAATAAACCAAAATAATGAGAAATTGCTCTGTATTTACTTTGTTAATAATTGAAATATTGTAATACAATTTCAGATTTAGAAACAGACTATTGGGATTGGGATGAACCGGGTATAGGAAAAATCCTTATATACCAAGTTATCGTCGGTGGAATTTTCTTTATTATCCTGTGTATGATTGAAAGCAATATTCTGTCAGTATTTCGAAGATTTAAGACATCATTTGTGGAAATTCACAGAGAAAATATTACCGATGATGATGTCAACCAGGAGAAAAATAATGTGAACTTCATACTCGAGAGTAACATAGAAAATCAATACGCAGTTGTGCTGAAAGATATGTCCAAAACTTACAAAGGCAATATTGCTGTTAATCGATTGAATTTGGCAGTGATGCCCGCCGAATGTTTTGGCTTGTTAGGGCAGAACGGGGCTGGAAAAACCACTTTATTCAAAATGATGACGGGGGATATCTCTATCACTTACGGAAATGCTTGGCTAGAAGGTAACAGTGTAAAGGAAGAAATTGGGAAAGTTCGCAAGAGTATTGGATACTGTCCCCAATATGATGCCCTGCTTAACGAATTAACCGGGAAGGAAATATTAATAATATTCTGCTTAATAAAAGGAATTAGGTTGAAAAATATCAAAGGCTCTATAACAAAATTGGCCGAATTGTTTAACTTTTCGGAATACCTAAACAAAAAGAGTGGAAAATATAGCGGTGGAAATCGAAGAAAACTCAGCACAGCAATTGCATTTACTGGTAATCCGTCCTTAGTCTATTTGGATGAACCAAGCACAGGTAAAAAAATACGGACAGACACACGAGTGATCTCATAAGGGTTCCCAACCAGAGAACCAACTTAACATTGTAGTTGAAAAAAAAAGCATTATCTCCCATACTAGTACAGTCATTTAGTTCGAAAAACAGAGATTAGTTGGAAAGTTTTCCGGGAGTTTTATGGATTTTGAGGTGCTCTTTCCGAATTTCAACTTTGCTACATCGTATTTTTGCCGCTTGCGCCGCCATATTGGAAAATTTGGCGCCTAAAAGCAGTTTTTTGACAATATCTCCTTTCCAACTCATTTTACTATAAAACCAGTTATATACAAAATGAAACTAGAGAGAATTATCTACAATTTATCTACCAACCAAAAGAAACCTTGTTCTCCCATACATTGCACAAACTGCAAATGTAAATTTCTACGCACAATATTGTTTTGTTGAAAACTTTGCCACGTTATGTTCAGGCCATAGACTTCTTATTAATTTTCCTGTAATCTATAAGTAAAGAAGTATTTTCTGAATTTTTTTCAAAATTTTAGGTTCAGTAGTTTTAGAGATAACGGGAGGGGCGGAATGATCAATTTTCATTTATTTTCTTAAATAATTTTAAAACTACTTATTTAAAAATTATAAAAAATATATATTTGAGATCCTTACAACAAGCCCTTTCATTCGATATAACACACTGTACACTTAGCAAAACTTTTCTCTTAATTTCGTATTGACCCCCAAAAATGACCCCTATGTTTAAAATTAATTTATTTACGTTATGCGTCCGTGTTTGGATCTCAGAAATTCATACGTATAATAGACCCAGTAGATTAACTATGACAGACGGGCAGACAGAGACTCGAGTGATCCCATAAGGGTCCCGTTTTTCATTCGGACGTACGGAACCCTAAACAGGAGGTGTTTGTATTTTAGAAGTTATACCCACTTTTTTTTACATAGTTATTCAGCCGAAAATACAAGATTATAGTTATGCTGAAATTCAACTTCCGTCACATGCTCTACGCGTATTCCAGAAAATTCATTTTGTTATCGTCATACGTCATTATATTTAAATTTTGTGTTAGGAATGGATCCGGCCTCACAGCGTCACATATGGAAAATATTGCACAGGCTAAGGGCTAGTGGGACCAGCATTATACTTACATCCCACTCGATGGAAGAATGCGAAGCATTATGTACCCGTTTGGCTATAATGATCCATGGAAGTTTTAGGTGTTTGGGATCGATACAACATTTGAAACATAAATTCATGGGAGGATATATTTTGAGCATAAAGGTTTTGGAATATAAACTGGAAGTAGTGGAACAGTTCGTCAAAGAAAATTTTAAAAACGCCAATTTGAAAGAGAAATTCGTGGGTTTCCTTCGGTATCATATCCAAGAGCTTACAGTGCCTTTGTGGAAAATGTTTTCCTTATTGGAAGAGAGAAAACAAAAAACTGACATTGAGGACTATTCATTAGGACAAGCGGGTTTGGAGCAGGTTAGATTTTACAGATTATCTTGTTGCTTTTGATTTAATACGTGATGAATTTCTTCCAGATTTTCATTTACTTTGTGGAAAGTACGGAAACACAGCAATAACTGTCTTTTATACATGATTATTTACTCAATACTTAATGTAAAGTTTGAATTGTAAAACCCTCGAGTTTTAAGTGAACATAATGGATATGTTCTATAAAAATGCAAAATGTGATAAATTTATTACCAAATATATCTGTAATTGTTCTTTTATTTTATTTAAAACTTATTGTAACAAATTTTTTATTACAAGTATTAATTTAAGAAAGTCTCGTGTGCATATTTATTTAACAGAAAATCGGACTAGTCACAGTAAGTATCTATTTAAAAATCCTTTGAACTGATGCTATCTTGATTCGGTTAAATCGGTTACACTTGCTTCCGAATTAGGACAGCATCAGCAAGAAGAGAATGTAGGGTAAAAGCCGGACAGTTGCCTGAGTGGGATACATGCCCCGGTTTTTAATACACTATGTTAGGGATGTTGGTGGCATTAGCCCTTTACTAAAATTAAAAGTGCCTTGTAAATCGTCAGAGTATCCGCATGCATTTGGTATATGTAAGCAAAACTCTTTCGGGGCGAAGTTTTGACGGGGGTCGGAATTATATTAGTAAGTAATTTCTTAGAAAATACTACAAATGGCGCAGTAAACGCCATCTGTAGCACGATGCTACATTTTAGGATTACGTATGCCCCAACAAGGTCCACTTGTGTGGATATCTACTTGCTGAAAACGATAGATATCCACACAAGTGGACCTTGTTGGAGCATACGAAATCCTAAAATGTAGCATCGTGCTACAGATGGCGTTTACTGCGCCATTTGTAGTATTTTCTAAAACGCACTGTTAAGACAGCAGGTAAAAGTTGGTCTGTATTCTGTCGGAGTTGTTTGCGACGCGCTGATGAGATCCAAAAAGATCGAAATCGCGAACCGCGTCTGGCAGTTTCGACAGAATACACACCACTTCGAATTATTTTATTCGAAGTAATTTCTATTGAATATTTTTGTGGTTTCCCTCAATTTTTTGTTTATTTGCTTGCATTAGCGTTTAAATTCCACTGTTTCTTACATTTTATTGTTAAATATTTTTTATTTATTTCGCAAATAGAAAAGGCAAGTATCCGTATCAAAATGGATAGTCGCTCTATTTACTGTTGCCGATAGTCGCTCTAGGGGCTACTATCCCCAACTATAAATTCTTTAACGAACAAAGGCAGATCTTCTCCTTTTGGTGTTTTTTCTAACTTGTTTTAAATAAAATAAAGGCTTAAGTGTTGCATGCGCTCATTCTTCAGTGAGCAAAACGCCTCGCAGGTATGCGCGAAAACCAGGCGGAGTGCCGCACTGCATAAGCTGGACAAAAAATAGTTTAGCACTTGCATTCAAAGGATAAAAAACATGAAGGAATCAACGAAATATATCGAATTTATGAAATATATGGTGATAATTAATGCTAATGCCAAACTTGATTACCATATTGTTCTATATTTAAGATAACACTTTATACATGTAGTTATAGTTTATAGGCTATTTTGTCTACCCCTGTTAACTCCTATTCAAATCCGTACTAAAGACATGCACCGTTAATAATATTCTTCGAATAGTATTTTATAATGTTAATTATATTTTGACTAGTACTAAAAAAGTATCACAATGGTAGTAAAGACTGATTATATAAATTGATATAAATTTGTTTCTATCTGAAAAAATCATAATGAAGCGTCTGTCCCTGCACGAGGCAAGTATTTCCCGTACCATTTTTTACGTTAGGCTACTATACGCTACAGTAGGCAACTATCCTTCTTTTGAGAAGTTAAATGAAACTGAATTTACCCAAAACTGATGGGATTTATCCGAGGTATCTCCAAGAATAATCGAACTTTCGATATAAACAGGAATTTTATTTTGTAAAGTGTTAGAAAATTGGTTTACAAAAAAGTAGCTGTTGAAGTGTACATTAGTATTTTTCGTTTCTAAGTAAACATTAACAATTGAAAAACAGTTTCACAATATCTGATTAATAGTAACAACAATGTTTACTAGATTAGGCAACAAAAAATTTCTGAAAATTGACAAAATAAACATCTTGAAATATGATATGTGCGACGACAATTTTTCATCTCAAAAAAAAAATGCTTTTTTACAATTAAAATTCATACCTTTTTTGTTCCTTCTGTAGGAGTTATTTTGACAAACAAAAAAAAACTCATTTTTACTTTTGAACAGAATTACTAAATTTGGACAATTCTTTGATTTATCTCAACATTTTCATTTATTTGATTACCTGTAGAGTTTATTTATGTTGGAGGCCGACAGTTCTTGTTTTAAGTAAAATTCTGTTTGTATTTTATAAAAGACTTCAGAAATTCTTTTGTCTGTTTCAGATGGAATCAGGAGAAACGTTATTTATGGACCAGCGTTTTGTTCGGAGGGCTTAGCATGCTGGCAAAGGAAACTGGGATAACAGTGTTTCCTCTAAACTTGGTGTTTGACATGTATCTTTCTTGGCCAAGCATAAAAGAGTAAGTATCCATAAACTAAAAGTCGGTGGAAATATATCTTTTCTGTTTATTACATGTATTAACTGCGCTGTTTTGTACAAATCCTAAATAAAATCCTTTTAAGTAAAAAATTAATCAATTTGACGAGTTATTTGCAGGTTGAATGATTGAAACAAAGAATAACGCAGGCTCGGGTAACTTTTAACAAATCGAAATTACTCATTCGCTCGTGATTAGTTAATTTAGAAATTCGAAGACGATTACCAAAGGTATATGTTTGAAGCACAGTTCTGTATGAGTATAAAGCATGGACAGTGGGAGTTAAAGAAAAGAAAAGTTACAGACATTTGAATTGTAGTTTTATAGGAGGAGGTTAAAAGTACTGTGGATATAATAAGTTAGAAATGAGAATGTTTCAGAATTAGTATGAAAATAAATCAAGAAACAATATGCGTGATAAGTTGGTAGGACACCTTCTCAGACATGCCGAGCTAGTTAGGGATATGTTGCAAGCAGATAAAAAAGTTAAGAGGGATAGAGGTAAATCTGAGTTAGACAATGTTAAAAAATAGAGTCATCTAGAGATGTTGGTAATTTGGAGAAATACAAAAATTTGCTTGAGATAGGAAGAAGTGAAAGTGTTTGCCCAATTAATTTTCAGTCTGAAGACCTTATGATGATAATATAATCAAAACCGTTCAAGAGATGCTTATCAGTAACAAAAAGAGATTCTTGTTTGAAACTTCTATACTTCTAGAAATTAAAGAGGTATGTTTACAGAAAATATTTTCCATTTTACCTAATGTGCATTATTTCTTCTTTATTTTAAATGAAATAACTTATTTTTTNAAATGATGGTAAATGCATATTATTATAGAATAGTAAAATAATATCTTTTATTTCTCTCCATTTAACGACCACTCTTTATAACGCCGAAAAATGTTCAGTCTCTTAAATGTCGTTATATAAAGTTTACACTGTAATTCATTAAAATAAGAATGCGTAAAAGAAATTGATGTTATATTATTAAACATGATTAAATCCACTTTTAATTACAATACTTCATAGTTTTTCAAGCATTTTGTGTGCCTACTTAATAAATATTAATATCAATCACTTGATACATGCCACTTATGTATCGCAGATAATTTTCTTATTCTTTATATTTATAGAAAGCAGTCTAGCAATTCATTGTTTATATTTTAAGCTAAGTATTATCTAAATTTCTTTGAAATCCGTAAAATATTAAGTACCTATACATATAGTATTTATACTACCTATTACATATAAGTTTTAATTTTCTAATCATCACCACTTTAAATATCATTTAAAAAACAGACACAGTTGCATTGCATTTCGAAGACCAAATAGATTAAAAATAGCTTCCCTGTAGAATTTCGGCTTGTTCCAAAAGCCGATTATAAATAATCTTGTGCATAAGCCAGTAGCTGAAGGTATCTATTATACAAGCGGTAGTGCAAATTTACATTAATCAGTATTTTAGCTCTCGTGATTAATTATTTATAAGAAACTTACCAAAGCGGTATTATAATATAACTTTCATAGAATTATAATGAATATCCTTTTTTTTTGGTGAGGATTGGACATGGAGAGAATTTGATATTTAAAAATCTATCTAAGACTGTATTTGTAAGATATAAATAAATATTACGTCTTTTATTTAGATCTTTGATGGTGAAAATTTAGAAACCATTTAAACTTATTTTCTGTAAAATTATTTCTTTTTGTTTTCTTTAAAAACATCTAAATAATATCTACGGGACATCCATGTGAGTTAGTAGATTGTAAATGTAAAGTAACTATATACCTATTCAAGAAATGCTTTTAATTTTTAAATATAAACATACAGGGTGTTGTAAACGTTATGATGAGAACGAAGTAAAAAAATAACGTTATCTGACGTAGCCCTAATTAGTCTACTAACACATCACCTGTATTACACTCATCAATAAGTAAAATATTCACGCGACAGTGATATAAACGACAATAGTTTTAGGTCATGGTAACACTCCCTTCGTAAGTATTAACAACTACAATCGTTGAAGAATGTGCTTGACATTACACACATACATAGATACGTTTGCTATAGGTACCCTGAAAATTAATTCTTTTCTGCAGTTAAGAAAACTCGTGCACTTGCAAAGTTCGTAGTAGAAACAATGATAATTGAAATGCTTAATTATTGTTACAAGTCTCAATTTAGGTATATGAAAAGTAACGGTGCTCCGTTTGAAACAGTTTTTAAAATTGAAAGTGCGCCATTTCTGAAAACACACGGTGAATGTGGTGTGTGACCTTGGAATAAGTATTAATGACAACTTTTTTTATCTTGACTAACGCCCGTGATAAAAGTGTGTAATGACAATCAATAACAGAAAATTTTACCATTTTGTAGCGCGAAATATAGAAGTGCTGTTCGCAGTCAGTTAGTGACATCAATGAATTTTATCTTTATTATGTTGACATAAAGTCCTACTTCTTGCTAGTGTTATTAAGGTATGTAATGCAAAACCTTTATTAATTAAATTGTCTAGTCACCAAATAAAATATTTGTCATGGAGACTGCCTTTCAAATCTTAAAGTCAACAAAAACGCATCTACATCTACTTAACACTTTTCTACATTAACTTATAAGAATTTAGTGCATAAAGCATGAAAGTCACTAATAATAATCTAGACATGCAAGTCAATTAATGAAATAGGATTCTCTATCATAGCCATGTACAGCATCATCCCGATATGCATTTCATAATTAATTAGGGCAAACAAAGTTGTTATGTCTTAAACCTCAAGTAAATCGCTGTGCAAATTGTGCCGATAGATAAAGGAATTCATCGGAACGACTGGTCACACGGGGTCATGGGTGCGTGGCTAAAACACGTGTTATGAGAATACATCTATTTTCATGAAAATTTTGCGTTCTTGTAGGCAAGCGTTCGGCGGGTTTCGTGTGTATATCGCAGAAAAATAGTCAATCAAAAATAACATTTGCCTAGACAAATGGGTACTTTTCGACCAGGCAAATTATTTAATCATTATTTCCAATTATTCGCCTAGGTAAATATCATTATGATGGACAAAGGTCAATTGCATTGTAATATATCAAGTAGGAAAAGGCAACACCCACGAAGTGAGTGTAATCATTTCCATGTTCCATATATTTCCTTTTATCAATATGAAAGTGAACGTGATCGTAAGCAAATCCGTTAAGAAAGAATTTACTACATATAAATGTACATATATATATATTTTGTTAGAGATATATAACAACTAAAAAAATTGCCCGCTTTAGCTTCAAATGCAGCTGTCCTTTATAATAATAGTTATTATTCGTAGACGAGTGCAACTGTCCTGTGAAATTTGCATTAGAGATGTCCGGATACCTAGTTTGTCCGGTATTCGGCGGATACGGTACTTTTTTCAGAATCCGGTCGGATACCTGATAATGACGCCGGCTATCCGGTACATTTCTAATTTGTATACTTTACCCTCTCGAGTGTAATTGTATATTGTCACCATTTACCCAGAAAGCTTTTAGGCAAATAATAATAAAATAGTATTTGCCTAAATGAATAATTTGAAATAATGGTTGAAATAATTCGATTCAGATGAAAGGTACATATATACATAAATAATTCTTATACCTATCGAAGAAGTACCTGCCAAGTAAAGTTTTTTTTTTAAATATTTGATATTAACATTTTAAAAATTTAAAGGGACTCTCTGATAAAACATCTGAAACAAATTATGTTGTGACTAAAGGACTCAAATTAATTAATTAATTAATAGGGTGATTTATAAGAAGAATTAGAGTGTATCACTTTAGTATCGCAATAAGGGAGACAAATAGTTATAAATCACCGTGCTGATGAGAGCTAACAGTTCAAAAAAGCCCCGTATTGTATATTGATTAAAACCAAAAATTTTGTCATCAATTTTACCAATCACGTTGGTAAATCGGAAGAAATCGAACTATTAATACAAGCAGCCAGACGAACGACCGAACTGACCGAAACTTGACTAGAAAACTCAAAAAGCAAGATGTTGTATAGCTACCTGCGACTTTTCATAAAGCGTGCTGGGTACATAAATATTAAATGTTGATATTTCCTAATAACAGGATAATAATACGTTATCGTAAAAAAAAATAAGATAACAATAAACCATTTTAAATATTGATGCGCATATCGTATATTTAGGAACAAATGACGTAGATTATTACAGATTTTAGGATTTTTACTGATCCCTTTCTAGATAAAAATTAAATACAGTCAGGAATTAAGGATGTTTATCATGAGTAGAGATGTGCAAAATGGTGTTTTAATAGTATTTAAATACAAAATGCAATGACCTTTTTGATTTGTTATTTCAAATGTAAAATACAAAATACGTATTTTCAAAATACTTTCTTATAATATACCTATTTAATTTTCTACATTTACTTTGCTATAAAATATTTTCTAAGAAAACCTTACAGGCATTTGCTAATTTTTTAAATATTGCAGTTTTTCTAGACTAATAGTGGTGTTTGCACTATATCACCAGCTGCGAAGGTTAACTATGATTCATATGTTTTTAGGTTCATCTAATAAAGTATATTAAACCTTTATGAATTAGACTTGTTATATCCATGGTTTTTAGTTTAACAATGATTTCCCATACGAATGTTTATCCTTTTATTGGAGGTTGCTTTATCAGTAATGCTGAATAATGTTTTTGTTTTTAATTTGTAATCTAAGGGGATGATTTTCCAAAAATCTCTTCTAAGTTGGTGTCAAAATTTCATATTTCTATGTATTCTTTGTTGATGAGTCACATTGTATATGTTACAAACCTTGAACCCTTTTGTTTCATTCCCTTTCAGTGCTTTACAGAAAAGCTCGTTTCACAACGTTGGAGTTAAGGTATTGATCTTAATCCCAACGTTTATTAATCGGTTCTTTATTGATTAAATACGTAGACAACTGATATCCCTACCATGAGTTAATTTAGTTTTAATCCGTTGTTATGATACTCAGTGCTTTAATCTTTATAACTTTAAATTAAACTCACTCAACTTATAGTTACAATAAAGTAATTTTGGTGTAGATAAGATGTGACTGACGCATCACACAATTTTGAGCACGGGCGATACGTACTAATCCTAAATTTACCCTGTATATAGGTACAAATAATTGATTAAGAGTTGATTGGTGTTCGGACTGTATAGTTTCTGAATTGAGAACTATCGATCCCGATTCCTTGAGTAATTTGTCAAATTTGAACCCGGGGAAAACAAATTTAATCTTCTCTTGGAGGGACATATCGTGAATAATGCGAGTGAGTGCCAACACGGCATTTCAAGTGTGTTCAATGGAAAAACTACTAAAAACAGTTGTTATGAGCATTAATTTATGAATGACTGGGAAAAGAAAATTTTAGCGTTGAAAACCATTTGTTAAAAAGTATTAAATTTTCCTGTGACTATGCAACTCATTTCACAGAATGGAAAACTCAATGTAAAAGGCAAGGCCTTAGGCGCGACCTTGTCGGGTTTATATGCGCGAACTGCTTGTTCATATTATTACATCATTGATTCGTCATTGTCTCTAATTTATTAATACAAAATGTGTAGTGTAGATTTTTGATCCAGTATAATCAAAATTCTAAATAATCTGACGTTTAATAACTAATTGTAAATAAAGTGATGATTACTTTTTAAAAAGGCAAAACAATAGATGTAATTATCGAGTTTGTTCATGCAGTTTTCAAAAATTATCATAACCTTATTATGGCCTTTCGAAGTTCAAAATTAATTGACAAATGTTTTGAGAATATTTTAGAGCTTTCTAATAAAGGTGTTAGAAATGATTTCTTAATATTACTACCGATTTAAGCGTAAAATGGAAATTACATTAGAAACTATCAAACTAGAGATAAAACGAATTTATATTTACTCTTGACCGTCAGCAGTGTTTATTGATTGAATGATTCGGTGTAATAGTAACAATTTCGCTCGCATTTGCGGCACTTTTTTATAATTCATGACCATCCAGCATTATAATTATTTTGTTACACCGTCTGACTGCTACAGGGACTGTTATGTGTGAGTATTTACTAATTGCACTCGATTTTTTTACAGTAGGTAGATTGTTGTGTCACGATAACGCACTTTTCATTATCATTCCTATCTCAAAAATCCTTTCGTTGTATATGATTCACTCAAGAGAGTTAATAAACATATAAGTTATTTCAAACGAATTGCACATTTGTACGTTAATCAATAATCAATCATTATTGTAGTATCGAAAGTTGTGTAAGTATCTACATAAAATGTAAGTTTTTATGCATTTTTGAAATAAGTTTAACAAGATTGTTTAAGGGTAGATTGATAGCCGATGTTCGAACAAAACTGAGTTCTTTTTTTAACTAAAATAATGAGTCCTTTCAGGATGCATTGTGTGTCTAACTGCTGCCTTCTTAACTAGAGTATCCTCTTCAAGCCATCTCAATCTCTCTCCTGATCCCACCGTTATTCCCCATGCTTTCGTCCATTCTTTATACTTTACATGATGACCTCATGTGTTTTTGCGTTTCTTCATTCTCTTCACATAATCTACATAGGTTTTTGGTACCTACTTTCTATCCAATATCCATTTTCATTCCATTAATTTCCTGTTCTGAACCTAGCTGGCATTGCCATGTTCGTCACTTTTTTCTCTTCTGAAGATATTTCGGAAGTTCTACTAATTTTTTACATGTTTACTTTACCCGCTTACGTTTTCCTTTTTCACTCTGCGATCATGTTATTTTTTCATTTTTTATCTCATTTTTAATTTTTTTCTATCTCCGGAATACTAAATTTAAAGTTTAGATAAATGGAATATCATTGAACCGATTCCAAAAAGAAAATTGTTCGAGATTAGGGCATTGTGTTAAAAATTTTTTGCACCCGTTTCTGCATAAATTGTTTAAACATTTCTACAATTAACTTATACAAACAAACAAACCTTAAGCGGTTTCGTAGATTAGCGTGTAAGAGACAAAAAAATTTACGGGTTGTTTTTGTCTTATTTATAATAATTGCATAAGTATCTACAAATAACAATACTAGCTTAAAAATGCAGATACTTTGATGTTACAGGCAAACACTTCAAATTTATTAATATAGTTATAGATATAGATATAGATAAATAGATACAGATGTAACTGTAGATAAAGAAAACTCATGAATATCTACTACGTCTATAGTCTTATTTTAATATTCTAAACATTCAGTTATAATTTTAATAGAAACAATTTATTTGTAGGATAAATGTTTAAACATGGGTCAGAAATGGAATAAGTTTTGCCTCCTATTTTGGAAAAATTGGTTGTTACAAATAAGGCATCCGGTGCAGACTGTGATAGAAATTTTAGCCCCAGTCCTATTTTCTTCACTTCTAGTGCTCATACGAAGTTTGGTAGATGTTGAAGAGTACAATAATGGAATGAGTTTTTCCGCCTTTAAAGCAAACTTAAATGAGAGGTACTATATTAGACAAACGAATAATTTGAAATGAATATTTTCTGGAAACTTGTTTTACAGCTTTAGTTCGTACGTAGTAGGTTGGTCTCCATATAATCCTTCACTGGAACGTATAATGAACGACGTTGTAATTAATTTGGGAGTTTCTGGGCATAGATCGTTTAACAACAGCGCGTTACTTGAATCTGCCATGCAGGCTTCCACAATGGACTCCATCTTGGCAGGAGTACAATTCCCTGATTCCTTACACGGAAACGTATCTCTTTATAAGGATTTAGATATCACAATAAGGTAATCACAAATCTAACAAACTGCCACATGCATGACAAAGAATTACATGAGAAAGGTTAGACCGTTTGGTTGATTTTTTTTCATTAAACTGATGCTGTTCTGATTGGAGTCTGAAGGCCTAAAAGTTTCGTTAATATGGGTGAGATCACGTCCAGCATTGGAGATGGGAGGACCTCTGAAGAACCTCACCACTTGTGTGAGCGAAACGTTCGGAAGCAATTCCAACACCCGACCGTCTTTAGAACCGAATCAGAACAGTATCTGTAACCGCGAAAACCTTTATCAATTTCCCAGTACTTTTTTATTGCGTTCGTAATTGCCTGGGTAAGGTTTGTATGAATGAAAATTTTTGGAAAATTCGTACAAGTCGCAAATTTGGATGGTATTTTCATATGAAAAAAGTGTCGGGTCTCTATTAGGGTGTACAGTTGGTTGCATACATTCTAATGACATCCTATAACCATTAAATTCGAGTGGATAGTTTGTTGCATATAAATTGCATAGGAAATGCTATGGTTCATAGACAACAGATACCACGGTCAACTTTAGACAGGCTCAGCTATGTAGTTTATAATATACTTAATAGCTGTTTGAAACTAGTGTTTATGTAGGTCAAAGGTAACACGTACCATATATCAAATTAAAGATACTGGCAGTCCACGTTCATTAAAAAAGAGTGCAGAACGACTGGCCACACAGTCCCCACGTCGGTTTCTTGAATGGGTGCACTAAAAAATATACGTATTTTCGTGAAATTTTTAAAAGAAAAAGTTTAAGGCTTTCCACACTATCATTTCAATAGTATGGTTGTGTGTGTGGTATCAAGAAAAATATGTATGTATGCATTTCAATAACATCTTATTACAATGTGTTTTTGTTGTTAAGAACCTAACCCAGCCCAACTTAATCCAACTTAACAATATTTCTTTAAATAATGACAAATTTGGTGAAGGCGCCGGGTAAATAAAATCTGTGTTTCGTAAATGGAATTTATTAACATTTATATTGTTACATAAATATTGTTCCATACTTTTTGCATTTATAAGAACTTAAATTTTTCGAATATGTCGAAATTAAAATTACAGGAAAAATGTTTTTCTCTGTACATCCTTATTAGGTTCCCTGGCGAGCAACGTTCGGCAAGAGTAGTAGGATTAGGATCAATAACATGGTTTACAAACCTTTTATTTCCACTTTACCAGTACGCCGGCCCCAGGAGAATAGATCATCCAACTGGAGGACCTCCATGTAAAATTACTTAAAAAAAAAATAAATTTTCGCTTTCCAGTTTACAGTTCAAACTTTTAGATTATCAAGAAGAAGGATTTCTGCCGTTGCAACAAGAACTCTCATTATCCCTAATAAGCTATTTCAAAGAAACTTCAAGCAGTAATAATTTCCAAAAGCCAGATATATGGATGCAAAGATATCCTTATCCGAGATGGATTAATGATTTCTTATTAACAGCTCTCGAGAGTTTTGTTAGTCTTATAATTATGTTGAGTTTCGTTTACACGTGTATCAACATTGTCAGATGTGTAACTATTGAAAAAGAAAAACAGTTGAAGGTGAGTATATTATTAAGGTTCCGTACCTAAATCGAAAAATGGAACCCTTATCTACAAGGTCTATTATCCTTTTGTTGACTCAAACGCATTATAATATATTCATACAAAGGGACATACTGTTAACGTATTAAAATCTTAAATTTTCGTACAAACACTGAACAATCAAAGTAAAAATTCCATTTATCTTAAAGTTGTAAGGGACAATTCATTAATTACGTAAGGACAAATTTTGGTTACTTTTGATCCCCCTACCCCCATGTAAGGATATATAAGAATTTTCAAACTCTCCCTCCCCTTTCTTACGTAAGATTCTATATCGTTCTTCTAAATAATAAAATGTTAGAGAATGATTAATTGCACTAAAAGTTTAACGTGAAGTAAAGATTTTAATTTTTTAACAATTAATAATTCAAATAATACTATTCTGTTGCTATAAGATTTAGATTAAAACTATGTTATTATTAGTAAAGTATTTGGTATTAGAATTAAAAGGGATTTTCCAACTAATTTTAAAGTCAGCAAACATAAATCAGTAAAACTACAAACGAATAATACTTTGCATAAAACAATAATCGACTAGTTTCAAATTAGTCTTAAAGAAACTAAATTATACAGTGAAAACCAGATTAATTTAAATCATCAATCTTCGTCTGGACTGAATAGATTATTAAGCAATGTTGTCCAATCGGAGACAATTGGTATTATAAAATGAAGAAGACCATTCGGAATCCAAAATGGAATTAGATTCCTGATATTGAATATCTATTTACAAAATATTAAGTAAGAATGAATTTACCCTCCCCTCCTCGCAACATAAGAACATGTAGAGAGTTTCTTAACCGCCCCTTGGTACTATTACGAAATTAATAAATCGCCCCTAATACGATAAATTTTATTTCTTTGATCATTCTCCATTAATTACAATCAAAGATAGATTCAAAATTGATAATTGTAAAAATAGGGGTAGGATGGGTGGAAAATACCTTTTTAATAAATATAGTTTTTAGAATGAGTTCTTCATTAAGCGGCGTTTTCCAAAATTCATTACTTTCACTTACAAAATGAAGACAATTACTTTTTGACGTGACAACGTCTTATAATTCGATGGAAAAACATGACTCATGCGGCGTTACCTCGCTCTGAGGCGTTCCATTTAAGGCTTGAAGTGCAAGCGAGAGCGCGGAACGAGCGACAAAGAGGCACAATCGGCCTCCGCGTTCGGCAGCGTTCGACATCTGTCTCTCTCCTACTTGAGCACGCAGCATTTTCCATAGTACAGATATAAATAATCTATAATTCAAAAGAGCCTTGGAAGGAGAAATTTCCCCCAATTCTCCCCCTTGAATCCGCTACTAAATTGCTGAGTTTAAAAATAAATAATGTTCCAAATATCGGGAACCTTCAGGGTTCATCATCGCATTACTTATCCTGAATCAAATTTCGCATTTCTTGATATCTATTTTGCTCTTTACTTATAGTACTTAATCTTTGATTTCATGTTTAGGAAACTATGAAAATTATGGGTTTACCAGGATGGTTGCATTGGACAGCTTGGTTTGTAAAAGAATTTATTTTCTTATTGATCTCAGTTATATTGATAGTAATCTTAGTGAAAGTAAGATGGTATTCCGGAAAGGATTTGAGCGTTTTCACTGCTTCCGATCCTACAGTCCTTTTGGTGCTATTCATACCATATGTATCTTCAATAATCACCTTCTCATTTCTTATCAGCGTATTCTTTACAAGAGGTAAAATCAAATTTTGAATATTAGTTTTAACGATGTTCTAAAAATTAAAATTTCATTAGCAAATGTTGCTGCCACAATCGCTGGCATGGCTTGGTTCTTATCGTACGCCCCGTACATGTTCATGAGAGAAAGTTATATATCCTTATCACTTTCTCAAAAATTAGGTGCATGTATTTTCGCCAACACTGCCGTCGCATACGGCTTCCAGTTGATGATAATGTTTGAAGGGAACGAAGAAGGTATTAAATAATTGATTTACTAAATTGAGTTTTATTTGTATTTTACAATTTATTATATAAGGTTTTCAGTGGCATAACATATGGGAGACGGCTTCCACGGACGATAATTTGGTACTCGGACATGTTCTTATCATGCTGGTGTTTGACACATTGATTTATCTACTCATCGCATTGTATATTGAGGCTGTATTTCCCGGAAAATACGGAGTACCACAGAAATGGTATTTTCTTTTCACATCATCTTATTGGTGCGGAAAATCACATTACGTAGGTAGGTTACACATCAATTTCAAACACTGAGATTAAATTTTATTCACTTATCACTCCATGAAATAATTTTTTATTTAAAATCATCATCATAAGGTTGTCAGTCCTAAGACTGATAGGACACGCACCTCCACTCTTTCCTGTCCTGAGCTAATCTTCGCATTTCCCTAAAATTAGAACATCCCACATCAGCGAACAGTAATCTAATCTAGCTCTACCTCTACTCTTCTTAACTCCTATTTCTGCCTCTAATATGTCTCTGACTAGACCTTCATACCTGAGAAGGTGTCGTATCAACCTATCTGGCCTATTTTGTATTTACTTCCATAAAGTCCTCTGTAAATCCATAAATAAATATTGTCACAAGAATCAATGAAATGTTATCAAAATTACGCTCACATCATCTAATAAAACTTTTGAGGGCATACTGTAGAAATCCAAAAAGGGAGTATCTTTTTCATTCAGTCAATAAAAATAGTTTTTCTTGAAGATATAAAGGTTTTTGCGTTTGGCATTGACTGAAATGGGTTCGTTGTTTGGGGTTGATGGTCTTGGTCTATAATTGGCTTTTCTCTTTCGAGGAGTTATCAACTTTTGATTGACATCCTTAAGGTACGTGCTTCAGTATCCTTGCTGCGTTCCCTGAGGATACAAACCAAAGAAACGTGTCTAGAGCTTATGTTAGATCATGATTGTAAAATCCCAAAACGGAATCTACTTCATATTAAAGATGTCAATCTCTTAACTTCAAAAATAGTGTCCCTAAATATACATATCATTAAATATATTTTGAATTATTATTCTCATTATTGACAAAAGAACAAAAATTGTTAACTGCCAGGTTTCGATTTTTAATCTTGCAGTTGACACAAGTTACGAACCAAAAGAAGAAAGTAACGATTATATCGAAAAAGATCCAGAAAATCTGAATGTGGGCATCCAAATTAAACATTTAAACAAAGTTTACAAAAACAGGAAAGTCGCTGTTAGAGATTTATCACTAAATTTGTACGAGGACCAGATAACCGTTCTTCTGGGACATAATGGAGCCGGTAAGACAACAACAATGTCCATGTTGACTGGGATCTTTCCACCGACTCGAGGAACAGCTCTAATTGCTGGCCACGACATTAGGACGGACATGGACGGGGTCAGAACTAGTCTGGGACTTTGCCCTCAAAGTAACGTGTTATTCGATGAACTAACTGTACGCGATCATCTGTATTTCTTCAGCAAATTAAAAGGGATGAAAAATGAGGAGATTGACTTTGAAATTGAAAAATACTTAAGCCTTTTAGAACTCACTGATAAGGTAAAAATTACACAGTGTGTATTACTAGTTATTTTTTATTTCAATGTAATCTTTAGAGAAATGCGAAGGCTTCTACTCTTTCTGGAGGAATGAAGAGAAAATTATGCGTAGGAATAGCGTTGTGTGGTGATTCAAAGGTAGTGATGTTGGATGAACCATCTGCAGGTGTCGACCCGTCGGCTCGAAGGGCTTTATGGGATCTTCTTCAACAACAGAAAAAAGGTAATACTTTAAAGTTCAGATTGATCGATCAAAAATCGCCATTTTTTGGAAAAGTTTAAAATAGACCTATGTTACAAACTTTTACACCCGAAAGTTTAATTTGTTTAGACTATTACTGCGAAAGATAAAGTTGCATCTAAGTGTATTACATTTGAATTTGATGTACTGGTAGTGTTTAAATAATCAATCAGTTTTCCCAGAATTATCCATCTTCCTCCTCTTAGGATTCTCAGAGTTATACTTGAATTGAAATATTCTTGACTTTGTCTTCAAATTTAGGTCGAACTCTGCTTTTGACAACTCACTTCATGGACGAAGCAGATCTTTTAGGAGACAGAATTGCCATAATGGCAGGCGGTGTATTGCAATGTTGCGGTTCAAGCTTTTTCCTCAAGAAAAAATACGGAGCAGGTTATCATCTGGTAATAGATAAAATGCAGAGTTGCAATGTTGCGGAAGTGACCCGTCTCTTTCAAAAATATATTCCAGATGTGATAGTAAGTTTCATAATGAAATTATACATTGGTGTAGTTTGAGTGTTGTTACATTCTTACCATTATTATTTAGGTGGAAAGCAATGTAGGTTCGGAATTGACTTATTTACTGGACGAACAAAAATCGAATGTATTTGAAGCTATGCTCGAAGATTTGGAAAGGAACAGTAACAGTTTGGGTATAAGGAGTTATGGAATTTCTTTGACTACTTTGGAAGAAGTCTTTATGAAGTAAGCGCAAAATGACAAGCACGATTTTGATGACGTCCGGGTAAATTTGTGTTCTTTTCCAGAGTTGGAGCTGATCATGGACAAGAGGAACAAAATGAAATGAATGGCAAAATTACTTATAAAAAACAGGACGACAGTAACAGTTTTACGTCCAGTTATGACAAAATAACAGACAGTAAGTACCTCGTTGTTTTTTTTTTGGGTAATAAAATAAATTATTCTCCTCCATGACTGGACAATCCTTCTCGACTAACTCTTTTTATTAGCTTTATATAAAAATTGTTTTTTTTTTACTTATTTAAAAGCCTCTCCTTCATTATTTCTTCCTTTTAGTAAACCTAGGATACCCGAAATACTTGACTGGTTGTGCTCTTTGGAGGAACCAATTCCTTGTGATGTTTTTGAAAAGAGTTTTATCAACGTATCGGTCGTGGGTTTTAATGTTAATTCAGATATTGGTTCCTGTTCTTTTCTTAATAATTGCCATGATCGTGGGTCGTCTTTATGACAGAACTAGCGATTTACCCAGTCTACCGATAACATTGAGTCGCTACAATAATCCAGTGACCCTTATAAGTGGAACTAGTGAAAATAATTACTACAACTCTTACCTGAATGTAATGAACAGTCAGAACCAAAAGTATATTGAGACTGGTTCAGGAAATTTGTCCGAAGTGATTCTTCAAGAGGTAAGTGTTACCTTATCAAGGCGGGTGCTCTGCAAGTCTTTACTCATTCAATCTAAAACCTTCTGGTTGAAGCTATCAATGAAACCATTGGTTTTGTTTTTAAGAAATTTATTTTTAAAAAACTCTGCCATATTATTTATTTTTTTTTTATATCATCATTCAAACTCCCCATCTTATCAAAAATAAGCAAACAATATTTAGATTGTTGTTCCTTTATAATAATTAAAAAGGAATATCAACGCAACCGAGATTTACAAAGGTATCCATCCCCCTAATATTAAATATATGAAATCCTATTAATTTGAAATCATTTTTTCGATTTTTTAATTTACCCACTACAAACTACCTCAAATTAATGAGGGAAAAATTGTTGCTGTTGTCACACCCCCGCCGGGAATCGATAGTTTATAGTGGGTAAATTAAAAATCAAAAAAATGA